TAGTAATAATATTTCTTAATCTCCAGAGGTCTATTTCTTTTCCCAATATACGAGACATAAATTCCTCGTTAACTTGTAGCTAACCATCAAAGTATATGATCAAACCTAATGATCTTTTTGATGGTTAATGGAGAAATATATATATTAGTGAATACTATGAAATCCTTAATCAAGCAGCATTGGATGACTAATCATCAAGATTAAACATAATTTAATCAGTGTAATGAAGCTTGACATTAACTAATTAAAGACAACCCAGTTTATTAATTATTTAGGCCCACTATTTTTTTTAAAAAGAGTTAAATGATTTAATTGAAATTAACAAAATGAAATAGCTACCCCATCAAATATTCTTCAGAATTTGATATCCATAAATTGTAATATGTTTTTTAGTTTAATATTAGAGCACAAGTGCTTTAATGAATAGATTTGTTGTGTCAAGATTGTCAATATTGATAGAATTTTTAGTAATTATTAGCTATCCTATATGTTTAGAATTAAATTCAAAATAATATCAAAACAAATTTATTAAAAATACTTTTGGCTTTATTAGGTTTAAAAGGAATATTAATATATTTATTTTCAAAATTTTACTGTTGGTATTTAATTTTCAGTATAATTTTGAGAGTTAAATTAAGACAATTACTAAATCAATTGCAAAAAATTTAAATTATTTGAAATATGCTCACACATAATTACAATTAATAGGGTTACCCAATTCAATAATTAAATTATTAAACTATAAATTTGCAACAACAATGTAATCACCAATTTATATTATTAATCATAATAAAATATTAAAATAATATTTTTTGAAATTATCAAAACCACTAAAACTTTCAAATTAAAATTCCAGAATGGAGGCATGCTATGTCCTCTAAATTTCAAGCTCTTCAAGCACAAAGCACTTGGTCCCTAGTTCCTCCACCTGACAATCAACACGTTATAGGTTGCAAATGGATATTTAAACTTAAATGACATGTTGATGGTTTAATCGCTCGACATAAAGCCCTCCTTGTTGCTCAAGGCTTCAAACAAGAATTTGGAATTGATTATTACGAGACCTTTAGCCCTGTTGCTAAATTTCCCATTATCCGGATGCAGCTCACGGTTGCTGTGAGAGCTCGTCCTTTGATTTACCTTCTCAGATTTGAGTTTTTCTCCCAGGATCGTCCAGGACGATATTGAGATCGTCTAGAACGATCAGTGCATTGAAACAGCTAATTTTTTGGAGTGGGATCATCCAGGCCGATTTTGGATCGGCCTGGGACGATCAGTGCATGGCAAAATCCCGAGAGCAAGGGTTTTTGACAAATTAATTATCGTCCTGTATCGTTCTGGAAAATCGTCCTGTACGATTTGAAATTGGTCACATCGTCCTGGACGATGTGGCGATCGGCCAGGACGATCAGACTGATTTTATAAGGAAATCAGCTCGTTTTGAGGAGAGAGAAAATCATTTTATAAAAATAAAAATATCTGAGGAGAGAGAAAGAGAAGGAAAGCGAAGGAAAAGCCGGATTCTGGAGGCCGCAGAGCGCTTTTCGTCCGACGTCGCTGTTGGGAAAAGTGTTTATCTCGTGGTAAGGACTCTGAATCCTATTTTTGTTTTTAGAGATATTGAGTTTTGATCGTGTTGTGACCTGTTTTGTGTTTTTGTGATCGAAAAACGGACCCGGTTTTGTATTGACACAACTTTCACCGCACAACTTTTAATATGTTATAGATACGAATATTGTACACGATTTGAGTATTTTCTATGATGATTTTACCGATTGGAATTGGTTCTACTCGATTTTAATTGAATAGAAAAATATCAGAATAGATATTGATATGAATTCTATAGAATAATAGTCTTATATTGATGTCGTGAATATTCTACTGTAATTTGGAAATTAGTAATTTTTGCAGGATTTTTTGTGTAAATTTGATAGACTGCCGTTACTCTGCCAGAATTTCGTAGGATTTCCGATTTTTCTGAAATTGATAGATTGAATTGATATGTGTATGAATATTGATATGATTGTTCTAGATTGCTTTAATATTGATTATTGAATTGATTATTGAATTGATTATTGAATACTGGAACATAAGTGGAACCTGGTTGAACGTTGGTTGGAGATTGAATTAACCTGTACAGGATGGTGGGCCGACGAACTTTCCTTTAAACATCGATTATAGATATATGGATGGGAGTTATAAGGGGTTTATAGATATGCCGACGGGCGGCCGACGGGCAAATAGAGTGACAACTCTTTATAGAAACCAACGTATGGATATCTACAACAGCAATATGGATTCTACAACAGCAACATAGCCAGTTGATTGTACTTGTTCAGTATTATTGTATTGAAATGCATGTTTACTGTATTGACTTACGATTTATTGGTTTATTCGATTTCTGCTTTATTGATTTGATCGGATTTACTGTATTGTACGATTTCATCGATTTCATTGATTGATCATTGAGCATGGATACTATTGATTATTGACATTAATATGGATAGGATGGATATAGATATTGTATAGATTCATTGATGCTATGGATATGAATATTATAGATTTATTGATATTTTATAGACTCATGATACTATTGATTCTGCATTGTATTGACTTGCTACATTTGATTTATTGATAGGGGTAGATTGAGATTTATCGTTATTGCTTTTCCGATTGATTTTATTGACTAGATAGCATAGATTTGATTGATTGATTCGATACGACTGATTTGACGGATTGATTGATTTTCTTCTGTGTACGGATTTCTTCGAGATTGACGTGTATTGATTGAGCTTGATTTATCGATTTGCTTGCTGCTGCATTGACTAGTTTCATTGACTATGGATTTCCGTATTGCATAGACTCATTGACCATTGACTGATATGGATTTTGATTGACTGACATGCATATTGATAGCGTCGCCGTGCTTTGATTTCAGTTATAGGTATTAGGTGACCTGCTGGGCTTTGTAAAGCTCATTATATGTGGTTGACATTTTCAGGTCAGGGCAAGGGAGCAGAAGATAGGAATTGATCCGGATCTACAGGTTTTTGTCTTTTGATTGATAGTGATTCTTTTGTACTCAGGACATGATAGATTTCTGTACTTGTGATTATAGTGTAGTTCCTGAGTATTGTACATGAACTTTTGAGATATGAATTGACTTGTTATTGATGTTTTTAATTTATAAACTTTTGTTTAGACGGTGATTAATTGGAGAATTATAGATAACTATGGTAAATGGCTGGTTAATTGGCATTCTTTCCAAGTTAGATCTTAGGGCATGACAGTTGTGCTTCATCATAATTGGTCTATTCTTCAATTACACGTGGTTAATGTATTTCTACATGTGAATCTCCCCGGGATGATTTACATAACTCAACCTCCTCGATTTCAAGATACCCAATTTCAATACTATGCATGTAAGCTTCATAAAGCCATCTATGGCCTGAAGCAAGCACCCTGATAGTGGTTTGCTATGTTATCATCGTATCTTGTTACTCAAGGCTTCCATATGAGTTCAAAGGAAATGACATGCTGATGGTTTAATCGCTCGACATAAAGCCCTCCTTGTTGCTGAAGGCTTCAAACAGGAATTTGAAATTAATTATTACGAGACATTTAGCCCTGTTGCTAAATTTCCCATCATCTGGATGCAGCTCACGGTTGCGCTTCATCATAATTGGTTTATTCTTCAGTTACATGTGGTTAATGTATTTCTACATGGGAATATCTCCTGGATGATTTATATAATTCAACCTCCTCGATTTCAAGATACCCAATTTCCACACTATGTATGTAAGCTTCATAAAGCCATCTATGGCCTGAAGCAAGCACCCTGATAGTGGTTTGTTATGTTATCATCGTATATTACTCAAGGCTTCCATATGAGTTCAAAGGAAACCTCCTTAATTGTCTTGAATAATACCAATACAATTGTTTATGTATTGATATATGTGGACGACATCCTTATCACTAGCAATGACTCAAAATTCTACTCTTCTTCACCACCTTCATATCAAATTCATTATCTTGGCTTCATCTCTCGGTTTCTAGGCATTAACGTTCTCTGGACTTCTGTTGGGTATCATCTGTCTCAATGTGCTTACGTTCAGGACATTCTCAAAACTACCGTTATGACTTCCAGCAAACCCCTGTCTACTCCCTAACCTTCTAAATGGCCAACCGATCCTGCCCTGCAACTTCCATTCATCCAACCTACACTCTTCCGTCAGCTGGTCGGTTCCCTCCAGTGCCTCACCACTACTCATCCTGATATCACATTTGCCATTAATCGGTCATGCCAACATATGAATCAACGGTTGCTCTGTCATTTTCAACTACTTAAACGAATTCCCCGTTACCTTCAAGGCACCATTGATTATAGACTCCTAATTCCCAAAACAGATCAACATTTTTTTTTTCCTTCTTTGATTTTGATTAGGCCGATGATACTCAAGACATGAAATCAACTACTAGTTATTGTATTCTTCTTGGAACCACACTTATTACCTGGTCAGTTAAGAAGCAATCCACAGTAGCTCGCTCATCCACCGAGATCTAATATTTCGCTTACCGATGCTGCAACTGATCTTATATGGGGTTAGACGCCTATGTATCAATTTCGACATCTCATTATATATAACTCCACTTTTTGTGACAATGTATCTGCAATGTCCATTGTCTGCAACCCAATCTTTCATGCATGTACAAAGCACATTGAGATCGATTATCATTTTATCAGGGATTACATTCAAGCTAAACACATTGTAGTTCATCATGTTTCCACTGCCGACCAACTTGTTGACATCTTCACTAAATCTTTGTCTACCTCATGCATCAACTCTCTTTGCACGAAGTTGATGGTCGTTCCTTCCATCAACTTGAGGGACTGCATTAAAGTACAACATCAAACATTTAACCAAAAGAGCTTTTGGCTTCCTCTGCTACTTGCTAGAATGTGCAATCACTCTTGCTCTGCTCTCATTGATTACTTACTGCTTTATGTAATCTCATTATGCTTTGTTGTCTCTCTATTTTGTACCTAAGCCTTTTTGGCTATATGTCTAGACATGTATTTAATGTTCACATATACAATAAATGCAACACTTATACATTTTTCATGTCTTCTACCTTCTATATAGACATTCATCCATTTGTAGTGAATGTGTAAACATTCATGATTTATAGTTTATCATGAATGTCCCGCCCCTTCACATGCCCTGGCCGTCTGCGTCCGAACCGCGACTTCACGTCTAATTCCCCGACCGAGTTCGAATGCACTGCCCGTTTGCACGACCTCGCCCCTTCTGAAGGCCCTGATTATGCACGTTCGGTCACGAACCCTCTCGCCTATTTTTTTGGAAAATGTCGAAGAAAACAAACATAAAACTTACGTTAAATGATCATTCATGATATTTTTAAGTTATAAATGTTGAACTCTATGTTTTTATTAAGATTTTTACATACTTAATGGGAATATGCACTTAAACGAATGCGTAATTCAGCGGGAGATTAATGTAATTTAGTTACGATATGATGATGATAATCGTTGACAGAGTAATTTATCTCGCTGCTTAGGTGATGATAATGGTGTTGCTAAGTGGATATGGTGGCGGCAGATTCAATTGCGGTGGGAAGCAATGAGTAAAACGTGGGAAACAAATTCTGAATTTTATCGATTGCTAATAATTTTTTCTTATAATTATAAACTATTACGAGAGAGAGAGAGAGAGAGAGATAGACTTAAATGTATTATTGTTAAACTACTATCTCCCAACCAAATCCCCCTCCAGCTATTTGTGTTTTTTATTGGAAACAATTCAGCAATATAATTCAGAGCATCAGATCCGCAAGCCATTCCACAAGCAGAATCCCTGAAAATGGCGGGCAATCCTTCCTCCGGCACACCGACGGCAAAAGCCCTGAAACCTAAACTCCCCTGGAAGACCCGGATCTTCATCACCCTCCTCTCCGCCTTCACTGACGCCTCCCGCCGCTCCAACGGGACCATAAATCGCCGACTCATCTCATTCATCGATTTCCGCGCCGCCGCTAACCCTACCCCTGTCCGCGGCATCCGAACCATCGACGTCACCGTCGATCCCTCCCGCAACCTCTGGATCCGCCTCTTCGTCCCGTCCGATGGCGCCGGGCGCCGGAATCTCCCCATCGTTGTCTTCTTCCACGGCGGCGGATTCGCCTTCCTCACTGCCGACACCCAAACCTACGACATCGTCTGTCGTCGCCTCGCCCGCAAGATCCCCGCCATCATAGTCTCTGTCAACTACCGCCTCTCCCCTGAAAACCGCTTCCCCGCTCCTTACGACGACGGCTTCGACACCCTCCGATTCATCGACTCCGGTGGGATCGACGCCGTCGCTGGCCATCTCGGCGATCCCTCGTCCTGTTTCCTCGCCGGCGACAGCGCTGGGGCCAACATCGCGCACCACGTCGCCCGCCGTTGGGCAGGCAACGGTGGATGGAAGAAGGTGAAGCTATCGGGGCTGGTCCTCATCCAACCGTTTTTCGGGGGAGAGGAGCGAACGAAATCAGAGATTGCGCTCGCCGGAGCTCCACTGGTGTCAACTGATAGGACTGATTGGCTCTGGAGGGCGTTTTTGCCGGAGGGAGCGGATCGGGACCATGAGGCGTCTAATGTTTTCGGGCCCAAAGACTTGGGGGAGTTGGAGAAGGGGTTTCCGCCGGCGATTGTAGTGATCGGCGGCTATGATCCGCTGCAGGATTGGCAGCGGCGTTACGGAGAGGGATTGAGGGCGAGGGGGAAGGAGGTGAGGATATTGGAGTTCCCGGAGTCCATCCATGCTTTCTATATCTTTCCGGGAATGGCTGATGGCGTGAAGCTTGTTGAGGAGATGGGGAAGTTCATATGGAGCCACAGCAAGAAGGATAAAGAGGCGGAGTGAGAGTGTTGTTTTCGAACAATTATTAGCTAAAATCTCACAAAAAAACTCGGTATTTGTTCGGTATTGCTAGATATTATTTGATAATAACGAGGAATACCGTTCTGTTAAGATCACTACCGAGCAATACCGAGTTATACAAAAAAATACCGAGTTTTTTATAGGAAAAACTCAGTATTTTTTTGTATAACTCGGTATTGGGTCTTCACATGATGGTATTCATCGTTATTGTTTGGTATTGCTCGATATTTGCTCGGTATTTCTCGTTTTTTGGCGTGATTTTAGCTCCGATCGGACGTAGCTCTACGTCCGATCGGAGGACCTAATAATTGTTCGTTGTTTTCTTAATTATAATTCATTTTTATGTGTTTAATTTTCTCTATGATTTTAGAATTGAATGATATTAAGTTCACTATATTATTCTCATTAAGACATTTATTTTATTTATAAGCATGTGAGATTTGAAATTTATTTGATCTTTTAAATATATAAAATGATCAATTACCTGAATCAATGTTCTCTTTCGTGTTCTATTAACACTACATCACTCGATCCCAAGCTCTAGATGAGAAAAATGGAGGGTTGCAATTGGTAGTCGACAACTAGCATAAAATTTGTCGAACAATCATAACATAAATTCTTTAATACATTGTATGATAAATTTTTTTTCGTATGATAATATTTTTAATTCAAAATAAATTTCACTTTATTTATTTGTCAATAGATTTAACGTTTTGTTAGCTGTCACCATAGAGGCGATATGGTTGCTACGACTTAAAAACTCGATGATATCAGAGTTGAATTTAATTGTATTAAATGTCTTAAAAATTTCTCTAATTCAGCGCCATAGTGCCAAAACTCACTTTAGTGCAACAATATAGAGCTTAACAAAATATTGATGGAGAACTTAGCGTCGAAGTGCTGTGAAAAAAGTGTAGCAGTGCCGGATTGAATCGAACTTTTATTTTATCCAGTGAACGTACGCAGAGGAACGTTCGGTTTTAGACAAAAAAAGCGCCTGTACCGAGTACCGAGTACCGAGGTGTGCCGAGTTTTTTCAAAAAACTCAGTACACACGCTTTTTTGCGTAAAACCGAAGGTTCCTCTGCGTACGTTCACTGGATATAATAAAAATTCGATTGAATCAAAGAAGTGCCAAATAGCTCAACTTTGTGGCGAGAGTTTTCTATTTTTTTTTTTTTGAACAACTGCATATAGCATTAAAACATAAAAGAAGTTACAAACTATTAAGTGATAGCACACCTATCTTTTTCTTCCTTTAACATAGACATAAAAGTTAAAGAAAGATTATTAGCACTCCCACCTTTCCAAATCAAATGGCCACAAATGGCAAAAGAAGCACATAAATAAGCGACCTTATTACATTTTCTAATAATAAAAAGAATTAAAACATGCTTAAATCTTTTACGGAATGATATATCTAGACTCTTTTATCTACGCAGTTCCACTTAATGTTGTCCATTGATCTTTGAAGGAGGTTTATGATATTCACATTATCCCCTTCTATAACTATGCCTTACTATAAACGGCACCGGATTCAGAAGAAGCTACAGTTACTTCTTCCCCAGCTCCGGCGAAGCATGCAGAGGACACGACTGCCGAAATGGTCTCTGACAATACTCATGTGCCTTCACATGAGTGGAGAAATCAAATAATAAAGTAACCTATAAGAGAAAGCCACGTGGCCACCACTTACTTACAAAGCCACGAATAGAATAGTGACATCTGTCACCACATTTAATTATAAATACATCTTGTATTCATTCACTAAAGGCAATGAAGATTACTGTAGCACTTCATCTTCTTCATCTCCGGTACCTTTGAATGTACATCTTCAACTCATTGAGTTGTTGAGTTCTTTATGGTATCAGAGCAGCGATCTCTGGCTTACAATCTAGTGCTCACACAGTGATCATATGGATCAATCCTCTTCATCCCAAACGGAGATTCAATCTGTCAAACTGACGGGCGAATCTCCCAATATTTCAGCATCCCTAAAACTTGTCCTATCCAACATCAAAACAATAGTTCCCGAATCCCTCACCAGTGAAAACTACCCCATACGGAAATCCCAGATTCTCAAGCTTCTCAGCACAAATGGATTCGAGCAATTCCTGGACAGCTCAGCGCCAAAGCCCCCTCGCCTGCAGCAAAATATTGACGGCAGCACAATCGTCAATCCCGAACATACTCAATAGCTTCTCATTGATCAGAATTTAGCTGCAGCACTCTGTTCAACAATTTCATCATCCATACTTCCGTATGTGCTTCATCTTGACAGATGCTCTGATATCTGGATCACATTAGAACAGAGACTCCAAGCGGCAAATAGATCCGGAGTTATGCAACTCAAAAACGAGTTACATAACATCTCAATGCGTAATATGTAAATGTCCCAATATCTAAACTCCGTAAAAACTCCGGTGGATAACATTGCCGCAGCCGGATCAATGGTTGATCCCGAAGACATCATACTATATACACTCAACGGACTTCCCCAAACGTATCAGGCATTCAACACTTCCATACGTACCAAACGAAATCCAATCTCCCTAGATGAGCTCTATGCTTATCTCTTAACAGAGGAGCTTACGCTAGCTGCAGCATCCCTAAAATTGAATCCTCCCCCTGACTCAGCAACAACACTGTATGCTTCTCGGGGTAGAGGTCGTCGAGGCAGAGGAAGAACATCTTATAGCAATAACAGCGGAGGACGATCGGGCTCAGCACCTCCTGTTACATGCCAGATCTGCACAAAACGAGGACACAATGCCTCCCAATGCTGGCATCGCCTAAACATCAACTATGTCCCCACAGCACCTGCCTCCAGAGCCCTTGTAGCAGACTCAGCTCCACCCACATAGGATTGGTATATCGATTCAGGAGCCTCCTCGCACATGACTCACTCAGTCGAGAACATTTCTCAACCAGTGGCGTATCATGGAGGAGGCAGCATCACTGTAGGCAACGGTCAGAACCTGCATATCGCTAATTCAAGTCCCGGTCTCCTTCCCACACCCAACAGTAAGCTATCTCTCTCCAATATCTATCATGTTCCTTCAATTTCTCATAACTTGATATCTGTATCCTCTCTCACAAATGACAATAACATTTCAATCACTTTCTCTTCATGCGGCTTCACCATTAAGGACTTGAAGACTCAAGCCACTCTTCTTCAGGGACCTTGCCGCAATGGACTCTACCGAATTAATCTACCTTCCCCCAACTCTGCGCATATGGCTCACTCAGTAACTTCTTCCTCCTCCCACAGATGGCATCGCAGACTCGGTCACCCTCATCACCAAACTCTTCAGATACTCGCATCTCAGCACAAAGAACTTCAAATTTCTTCCTCCAACACTATTTGCTCTACATGTAAGGCTGCTAAAAGCCATAAACTACCTTTCTCTCTTTCTAGCAATGTAACTAGCTCATCTCTAGATCTACTTCATCTTGATGTATGGGGTCCTTCCCCCACAACTTCTCATCAAGGATATAGGTATTTTCTACTCATCACTGATGACTGCTCACGCACCAGACTACTCTCAACTCAGAGTATTTGGCTGCACCTGCTTCCCCTGGCTTCAGCCACCGCAGCGCTCAAAACTTGAACCCTGGGCATTGTCATGTGTATTTCTTGGGTACCATGACTCTTACAAAGGCTATAAATGCTGGCATGCCTCCACCAATAAGATCATAATATCCAGACATGTACAGTTCAATGAGGATGAATTTCCTTTTCAAACCAAACAATCGGGTACACCATTACCCACCCCATCTCCAGTTACAAACAATCCTCACCTACTGATACCCACCTCAACACTAACTAACCCCACCGAACCTCTACCTGCACTCAATTCCACAACTCCTATCGACCAATCTCCCTCCCCTGCCTCATCCACACCAACTGTACCAAGTGAACCACTGCACCAACCAACACCTCCTATGCCTCATCCCATGGTAACCCGATTCAAATCGGGTTCCCTAAAACCCAAACGCATCATGAACCTACTACATACCAACTTCCTCACCACACCTCGTGATCCCACAGGCTATGAGGAAGCCTCAAAATCTCCACAATGGAGATCAGCCATGGCCGCAGAATTCCTTGCTCTCCAACAGCAAGGAACCTGGAACCTTATACCTCCTCCCATCAATGCCAATATACTGGGCTGCCGCTGGACTTACCGAACCAAAACACACTCCAATGGCACCATAGCCCGATACAAAGCCCGCCTTGTTGCCCAAGGAAATTGCCAAGAGTATGGCATCGATTACCTTGATACATTCAGTCCCGTGGCTAAAATGCCCACTATACGGGTTCTCTTAACCATCGCTATATCAAATAAATGGCCTGTTCATCAAATGGATGTGGCAAACGCCTTTCTCCATGGTGACCTGCATGAAACGGTGTACATGAAGCAACCCAAGGGCTTCGAAGATAGCACTCATCCTCACTATGTGTGCCATCTTAAAAAGGCCATCTATGGCTTGAAACAAGCCCCCCGCCAGTGGTTCAACACCTTCTCTGCATATTTCCTCTCTTACGGATTTCATCACAGCCAATCAGATCACTCTCTCCTCATCCTATCTACAAATCAGCTCAAAATCTATCTCATTATCTACATTGATGACGTCCTCATCACGGGTGATAGTGAGTCAGCCATTAACAAATTCATAGCTCAAATAAGCAATCAGTTCACAATGAAATATCTTGGTTTAGCTCATCACTTCCTGGGCATTCAAATCCAAACTTATTCTGACAAATACTTCTTATCCCAAACCAACTATGCCCTATCTATCATTCATCAAGCCGGTCTTCAATCTTGCAAACCACTATCAAATCCCAGCGCTACCAAGCAGCCGACATCTAGCTTTACTTACTCCTCTCTTCATAACCCCATCATATACAAACAACTAACTGGCTCTTTACAATACCTTACTCTCACGAGACCTGATATAGCATATGCCGTGAATGTCCTGTGTCAACATATGCACGCTCCCGATCAAACACACTACCATCTGCTCAAAAGGATACTTCGCTACATACAAGG